GACTTTAAATACTTTTATCTCAGTCATTTTAACGGTATTTTTTTCATCATCTTTCTGTAGTACAAAATTCATTTGATTAGCAGTAGCTTTCCAGTCACAAATATCATCATAACACATCTCATTCACATGTATAGGCTCGGATTTCTTTCGGGCGGCTTTTATTGCCCCAATGAATCCTTCAGGAGTATAGATAGGTCCAGATCTCAATTGTCTTTTTGTTTGGCGTTCGATTTGTGAGTGAACCGAGTCACCCTCGTTTTGGGTATGGCCCTTAATAAGATATTTATGGGTTATTATTTTAATATTGGGGTATTTTTGAACAGCATATAAATACATAGCCATCATGAATTTATTCTTTTATTGTCCAGCACAGTTGTCTGAATAAAACACAACGTCAACTGGCTTGTCCCCATCCGAAATTTTCTGAAGGTATTTAAAAACGCATGTTGCAATCTCATTAACACCTCTATGTGCCTGAGATTCGTCCCACACATAACTTTCTACAAAATGAGTTTTCAGATCATAAATTGTTAGGTTCAAAACATTTAATTTTGACTTAAAACACAGAAATTTCTCCCTTTGGGCATTGAAAAACGGCTTGTAAGTCGTATACCGCGACTATTATATCCTCATTATTCCTATCCTTCTCTTTCTCTAATCGGGACAATGTTTTTTCTTCCTGGTGTTGTAAATAAACTTCTTGTTTTAGTTTTTTTTCTTCGTCTGTGTAATTCTTGTAAGCTTCGCAAAATTCAAAAAGCGTCTTTTTTTGGAATAAAGAAAGAAATATTGAAGTCCTGTGTAAATATACGATAGAACATAATATAATTAACAAAATTAACGTTGTTGTTTTTACAATGTTGAACGTAATCTATGAATATCTGATATAGTTTTGCTTCCATCTATGTAATGTCTTTTAGAATTAGCTCGGATATAGTGAGACTATATTTTGGGTATATCTTCGATAAAAGCTTTTACTGCGGTTTTGAGTGCATCATCTACGTGAGCATGATTGGAGTGACATCCACGATTGTCTTTTAGATGTGAGACGTTTGTTTCTTTATTCTTTTTTTTTAGCGCCGTTTCAATAGGTCGATTATTAATACCCAAAGTGTTTGCGTAAAAAATCTTGCATACTCTAATTTTAACGCCGTTTAGCGTGGAAAAAAGGCGTTATTTTTATCTCGTTTTGGGGCTACTATACCATTTTCATCGACTCTAACATAACGATGTGCTGGTTTTACTTCTTCCATTGACTGAAGTATAAATGACCATTGTCTTTCAACATTTCCCAAATTCCAGTAATCATTTAAAAGATCTTGTCGTTGAGTTTCTGTTATATTGTATCTGCACTTAAATTTGCAGGTTTCTTTGCAAGGTGGTTTAAGTTTCCGTCCAGGCATTTCTTTCTTGGTTTTAGATGATTGGTAAGACACCACTGTTTCTTAACATTTTTGCGACATTCTTTTTCCAATTACTTTCTTGTCTTAGTCTTTTCTTTCCTTTCTTGATGGGAGTCTCAATCACAACGATACCAGGTTCAGTCGGTATTAGATTTTGTTGTTCAGATAAAGGAGGTGTTGAATTCTCATGTTTAGTTAAAGGAGGTGTTGAATTCGCATGTTCAATATCAGATAACAGATTTTCTTGTTCAAATATAGATGGTGATAAATTTTCATATACAAATGAAGATGGTGATGAATTTAAATGTTCAAATACAGATAGTGACAAATTTTCAGGCAGTAGAGTTGGATCTTGGTAATCCGGATCTTTTACTGAGTCATCACTATCTGCAAAGATGCAAAATAGCAAGTGAGTATTTTAATTCTTTAGTAATTAATATTTAATCCACCTACCTTCATGGAAAGATGATGACGAGGAGCCACTTGAGAATCTGCTAGATGAAAAAATTGTAGAGTACGACGACGATGGGACTGACATATCACTTGATTATCTGAAATCGAATATGAATTGAATACTATGCATATAAAACTGCATTATACACTATGACTTACTCTGAGTCGTGTCTTGATTCTCATTAGAATAATTACGGATCTCATTAATAGATTCTATGTTCTCATTGACAATATGGTCGAAATTTCGGAAACTGTCGTCGTTTTTTTGTGCTACTAACTCTAATATCAATTTTGATCTCGAGCTCATCTGAAAAATATATAATTAATAATCTCTTATATTCAGCAGCTACAACGTTATAAGTTTAAATAAATATACAACTTAATCGAAAAATATTCTGAAAAAAGAGTACATCAATAAATAAACCAAATCATATATTACGAAACAGCAAATGCTTTATCATCTTCAACGTTACTATTTGAGTAATCACAGATAAATTCATTATTTTTACATTAAAAACGTGATAACAAAAACCTAACTAATTTTTTTTAATCTAAATTTTACAACAAAAATGTGATAAAATTATATATCACATTGTCGAAAAAGAACAAATTATATGAAACTACACTTACCTTTTCACCAAAAACGTGATATATTCAAATATCACGTTATTTAAAAAACTGCGAGCACGTCCTCCTAACACTAACAGGTAATAACTGAGCTGTTCCTTTGTCGTCGCCACCCTAGATCGCTTAATGAGAAAGCGCTACATCGTGATATTTGTTGTCTTTCTCTCATTGTGGCGCCAATTTTAAAGTAAAAATACCACGGTTTTGCTGGTAAATAGATGGTGATATGGAGATTTCGAATTTCTATTAAAAAAAAATGCAATTTTCGAAATATCACAGTGTCGTCGCAAATGGACGACATGAGCATTGAGGTTTACTTTTGCAGGTTCATAAAAATGACTGCCTTCAAATTTTAACAATTCTTCGATAACTGCATACCTAAACTCATTTATCGATATGTTGGACTGTTCGGCCTCCTTGTATATGAAATGGGTATTCACAATTGAAGTACCTAATAAAATTTCTATAGCTATTTTCTTGTGCCAACGCACTAAGGGGTATTTGAAATCAATAACCGGTCATAATTATTTAGGGGGCTATATTATCAAAAAATATAATTAAAAACAATATTTCGTTCATATTTTGCAATTTTTAATAAAAATGCATAAAAAAATACCTTTTTAGTATTTTTACAATAATAATTACAATTTTACAAAAATAAGTAATTTTTTTTAAAGCTGAAAATAATGAAGATATTTAAACATACAAATGTTTATTCGGAGTCAGTGCAATCTGAATTAATGATAATATCAGAATCCTCTTCATCGTCATGATCTTCGACTGTATTGTCGTCCAAACTGTTAGGATTCGGTGTTGCTGCAATTAAAATTGTCTTTGCTTCATCAGAAAATGGCAAGATTTTCTGCTTATTTTTGACCGACTACAACTTGTAACAAAAACGTGTAGAAATGAAACACAAAATGTGTGGGATGATGGAAAAGATAACATATAATTTAAGGCCAATGTAACAAAAAATATTTATGCTGTTGGACGCCAATGTAATAAAAATATGCTTATTAGCGAATAAAAATATGCTTAATAAAAACGGGTAGGATAATGGCAAGGATAACGTATAATTTAAGCTGGCTAGCAGAAGGTGCCGGAGAGTGACTACTTGGCACTCAAAGGAGAATTCGGCCAATTTGCATGCCCTACAGAGACCGTAGAATTAGAAAATGAATGACAAGGTAATAAAAAAACTATAGGTATATAACTAAGATAAATAAAAATGGTTATAGAAGTTGCTCCAAAATGTGAGTGGGCGCCAGGAAAGTATTTACATAAACTTTCCAAGGTATCTTGTAAAGCTAGTTGCTGAAATAAAAAAAGGATCTAGGTATGAATTGAAATATTTAGGTTTCACCAAAACTTTAATCCCTAGACAAATATGTACAATCTAAATATATTTTAATATACCCACCACCAATTATGTACAGCTAATCTAGTTATTAAAAAAAAATAATAAATGCCCTGGTTATACAACATCTTGGATGATCTAAATTTACAAATAACAAAATATGGAAACAAAAATGGTAATAATTGACCTAAAAAGGTAATTTTATTTGCCTTAGAGATGCAACTCTCTATTCCGGCTTTATTGAATATAATAATAACAAGTAATAAGGACACTATCTTGACGAGATAAGTGTCCAAACCTTTTAAATATATAATGATAATAAAATCTAAAAAAAATAACTCTCTGATTAAATGTGTACACAAAAAATCGTACAACCGAGTTACAAGGGAGGATTTAAAACCTCAACCTGAACGTAAAAAAATTAATACTTATGTTGTTTATAATCATTTAGAAAAAAATGACAAGTCTTTATTATTAAGTGAAATATTAGTGTTCATGATTGAAAGAAAAATATGACCAAAATTATTAAATTAATGAAAAAAAAAAACAATATAGAAATTAAGAAGGTTCCACCCTCTAAATAAGGGAGGTCTTTCGGCTGGTATCCGGAATTGGTCCAAGAGTAGTCGGGAGAGCTCTGGACCACTGATGGATCAGTCGGCAAATGGCAAATTCTAACGTAATCTCTTTTCTGAGTGTAATTTAATTCCCCAACAAAATTAAATAAAATGAAATCCTTGATTCAGGATTTAACTTCTTGGGGGTAGGTTAAAAAGAACACTTGTGTTACAAATCATGAATGTGTTGCTTGTGTGAATCCATATCAAATAGGTAAAGAAATAATGACTTACAATCAATTTAATTTAACAATCAGACGACCGGTTTCGCTTTCTACGATTTGCAAAGCATCTTCAGGTCTAGATACAAAGTTAAACTAATGCTGCAATAAAATAAACCCAATTAGGGTGGTGTCTAATAAAGATAAAATAAATAAGTTAGTTCATACAAATTATAGTAATTATGCCAATATTACATGTCTGTGGTTTTCAAAATGAATAAATTTGAATATATAAAAGGTATTAACAGACAAGGTAAGACCCACAATTGGTATAAAGTAGTAATATTATATTGTAATAAATTAATAAATGAGCAGATAAATAAAACAAAACAAACATTACTTACATGCCGGTACTCTATTAATTGATGGATGGTAGGTCATGGTTGCAAAAATCATGTATTGTTGATTGGAGAACTTTAATGTGCTATTGCAGTTGTTTTGACAATAAACGGGAAGTTCTTGAGGAGAACAGATTTGATCCAATGAATTAGAGATAGGTATATTGTGGTTGTTTGTCAAATGAAAGTGATGTTCTTTACTATTGTATTATTTAAATTATTTACACTTATATCAGAGATATATTTTTGGAATGTGTGTTATTTATTGAGTATTTATGTTATGAAGGAGACAGTTTTATGACAATGAATAAGAGTAGCTGTACCGATTGTGTGGTTGTGCAATTATTTTGACTTGTAATTATCAAGTCTATTGGCAAAATTAATCAATTATTGTAAAGTCAAGTATATAAAAAGTATATAAAATTATTACAAATTAAGACAATCAGGGACAAATTAAACACACATTAACAGGAACAGAAACACTAAATGACGGGACAAACATTGAATTTAAAATTTAAACTTGGGGAATGGAAGAAACTGCAAGCACTACATCTCAGTGTTGGAAGTAATGAGTTTTTTTATATTTAATCTATTAGATTTAAGAGGCAAATTTGACATATGTAGGTTGAAGTGTGACAGTTCTTCTTCTATTACTAAATACTGTAAGTTTAGTTATTCAGTATTATGGAGTATGTTAATATTAATGAATGTCTCAAAATTTGTTTTAATTTAGAAATCAAAAGTAAATTGATGTGTTTAATATTGGCATACTTTAACAATTTTAATTAATAAGTTTCAAATTCAAAAATTTTTTTTATGTAACAATGTGAATAATTGAAATACATCATCTATTATAACTAACCAATTTTAGTCTGAATTTTTCAGAACAAATTAAAATGATTATTTAGTAAATGCAAACAAGTGTACTTGTAATTGAAAGGTATAACAAATTTACAAATGGCCTGAAAATTTTTTATTTGAAATAATTGTCGGTCTGAGCTATCTGTTATGGTGTATAAACATTTCTTAAAATATTTAATTTAAATTATAATAATTAATAATTAAATAAAGTAGTAATTGGGTGAATATTGATGATTATTCAAATTTTGAGTTCCAGTTATTGACTGACTTAAGTCTTGAATAATTAGTTGGCAATGCTAATTTATGACAATTGGAACCGGAAATTGGTTCCATCCCTGGGCAGCCGGTACCCATTTAAACCGGTGTAAAGTATACTTTTATTTCAATTCTTTGTATCATATGAACAGACATTCCTCAAACCGACAAGAACACTGGTGAGTTTTTACAGTAGTTTTAGTAAAAATTTTTAAAATTTTTAAAAAATTAATATCTGTTTATGAAAGTTAATATTTCTATTTAAATTATAAATCTGTACAGGATTATGAATAGTATAGATATATGTAATCCAAACTGCTAGTCTGAACAATTTTCAAGTCATGTTGGAAATCCATAAACCACGTGTTGAGTTTGAAATGAAATATGTTGTAAATTAAGTATTTGTCGAAACCAGATGGAATGCAATAATAATTATTATGGGTTAAATAAGTTGAGGTACCATACCAGTTCATTACTGATGTTTAATTTAGTTTTAGGAAAGTTTATTTTTTATTGGTGATTTTTTATTGGAGCTTATTTTCGGGATCAGTGATCAGATCGGGATAAAGTGACGTTCTCGTTACAAACTGATTAAAGGATCAGATGTCAGAAGAAATATATTTAAAACATCTCTTATCTAAATGTTACAATCAATTCTTGAAGTTTTTCGTGAAAAGTCTACCCGATATTTTCGAAAATGCTTTACGTACTTCACCGGCCTCCTCGGACAATTGCCCTATTGGCAGAATTGCCTGTTCGATCAACTGCGCTCCATGTATTAGAATTTTATGAACTGTAGGGGACATTGGATGCCAGCTGTACAATTTGACATATAATTTGGCAGTATCTTGGGCATAATTTTCAAATTTTTGGTGATCAATCTCATGACCACTTCATATTACCACAAGAATCACTTTATACCTGTTAATTAATTCTCTTTTGATGCCTGTGATACGAGAAGAGCATGCTGTGTTTTGAAAAATCCTCCTAGACGTATTTCCATCATTACTATTTTAATAGCCTGCTTTAGGAATATCAACAAGTAGACCCACTTCAGCTCTAAAACATTTCTGAATTTTCTCTTTTGTTTCCTTAATAATTTTTTTGTCTTCTGGTGTACGGGCCTGCCACTTTTTTATGGGTTATTTATATGCTAAATGCAATATCAATTCGAAAAAGCGTATTCTGACATGGAGTACTGAGAGCCCAAACTGTAAAGATTCTTTTTTAATGGCACCTTTTTCTAATTTACTAAAATTTTGAAGTCTGACCACAGATATAACATGGTATAGTTGATGCAGTGTCCGTTGCGCAGTTGCAAACCTTTCCGTCCACCATTGTCAGCAAAATATTGTGACTTATTTTCACTGATGTTGCAGTGTCTTTAGTCTTTATCAGATATTTTGCCTGATTTTCGATGTATTCTATTTCTTCTTTAGTGACATCTTTCGTTTCGTGGACAAATCGAGCTCTGATAGGTCTGCAAAATCTCACCGAATAAGGAGTAGGATTCTGCCAAATGATTTTTATTGCTTTGCCATCAACAGAAACAACCAACCTCACTGGAACAATCAGGCTCCTAAATATATTTGAATCATCATCTGCGACATTTTTTAATTTTTGCTTAAATTGAGTTTGGCGAGACCCATCACATCCCCATTTTGATATTAAAAGTAGGTGTTGCTTTTCAGTATCATTTAATGTATCTAAAACTTCTTTTAAATATTGGATGAAGCGCAAAGCCGTACGATCCAGCAAAGCTTGTAGTTCAACATTAAAAATGGTCTCCTTAACAGTTGTTTTGTCTTTATCTTAGTAGCGCTCTTTTTTTGCCTTTTGCAGCAAAAAGTAACAAGGGTAGATGTACTTCCATCCGACTTGTAATAAGGTCCACTGGTTTCTCGTGAAGTTACCTTCTACAAATAACGATAACGCTTCCTGTGGGATATATTTCATCTCCAGGTGGTCTTTTTTAGACGAAATTATCTTTCTAATCTTTTTGGCTTTCGTCGGTGTTGAAGTTATTTCTTTAATGATCTTTGAAGCGTGTCTATTGCCGGAAGTACCCTGAAGAGAAGTGATGAAAAATACTACAAATATGGCTAAGCTCAGAGGAACAAATTTAAATGGCCAAAGAGACACTAAATCTCAAGTGAGTATTCGGGCTAGCTTCAATGCACTGAATTGTGGCTTTAAGGATACAAAGCAGATAGCAAGGATAATGAACTAATGGGACAAGAAACGAAATGATACCTGTTAATATCAAACGTGATACAACTAAAGAAGGTCACTGGGAATAAATTTATATATAAAAGGATGCTATGTAGAGAAGGGCGCCAACTCAACGATAGTTGAGATTTTGAATTAACAAATGACTGGAAACAAATGATACTGGAGATAATAACCTGAAATACAAAATACTAATCTTGTCTTGCTATATTATATACTTGTTAGTAGAAACTAAAATAAAACTCAAAATACTAACAATAAATATATTTATAACAATGTGTATATAGATAGCTAAGTATTAACAATTTACATATAATTCAAAACTAAATACCAGTGGTAGTGGGTGGTGTAAAGATACAATAGGACCTAATAGCCCCTCAACAAGCGAATGGTGACTACCACTGGGCCAAATAAAGTATGAAATATTAGTAAAACCAAGAATAGTCCGTATGATAGCCAAAGTCTTAACACTAAGAGTTAGTAATTTAAATTTAACTTAGTTCGACTAGAATGATATACAAATTACAGTATTGTAAAGATATCAAAATTGATAAATCTATTACAATTTATATCATATCAAAAGTGAGTTTGGTCAGTACTCCTGATATCCTATTTAAAAACCTATTTAAAACATGAAATGTGTTTCCCTTCCCCGATATCTCAAAATTGTATTTTATATCAAAATGTATTTACTTGATCATAATGTATTTACTTGATCATATGTATTTACTTGATCATATGTATTTACTTTATCATATGTATTTACTTGATCATATGCATATGAAAAGTTTACAAAATAGAAAGTAACAAAAAAAAATTAAACAGTTAAACAACTTATCTTTCATAGAACTATAGGTCCATAGGAAATTCCTCTTGGCACGGCTACATTAATTTATTGCGGTGATGACAAATCCCACGGGAGTAAGGATAGTCAAATCAAGCAGTGGTCTATCTGCTCCGATATGATACTGCAAAATCCACGGGTGACCCCAATACGAGAGTTGCTAACTATTTAAGGATTTCAGTTACTATCGAATATCCTCGAGGGAATATTTTCAAGTGACGGAATCTAAAAATTTAAGCATCAGATTTAGGTATTATGTGATTTAATAGGTGTAGCAGCATAGATTGACTGCAACAAAACAAAAACATTCACATATTAGGTTAGGTATTTGTCATGTCAAAATTTCCGAAGTTACTTTCAATGTAGACATGACAGGCTTGCGCCATGAAATGAACATGCGCAGAATACAGAAGGCTGTTCAATATTTGTGGAACCTTTTTATATTCCACCAAAAAAAAAACCAGCGATATAAAAATGCAGTAACGGATACAAGAACATACCCAGGCGCAGATGTTCCATCGGATCACAACCTACTAGTGGCTAAATTAAAAGTAAAGTTCAAAATGCTAAAAAAGACTGTCAAAAGAAAAACCGACATCAATTTACTTAAACAAGAAAATATACAAAGTATGGTAAAGACTAAACTCAACGAGGAATGTGAAAGACTCCAAAGAGAGTTATCACCAACTACAGAAGGCTTATGGACTGAAGTCAAGAATGCTTTTACTAGCGCCGAGAAATATATAAAAGACACTAATAACAAAAGAAAATCTAAACCCTGGATGACACAAAAAATTCTGGGAATGATGGATACTCGAAGAGCCTACAAAAATAAAGATAATGAAAAATATAGGGAGATACATCGTCAAATCAAGAAAGAAATAGCTACCGCAAAAGAAAATTGGATGATAGAAAACTGCCAAGAGATCGAAGAATTAATAAAGAAACACGACAGTCAAACGCTTCACAAAAAAATAAAAGATCTAGCTGGAATGACAAAACAAAGACTCCCTTGTAGATTAACAAACGACGAGAATGAAACGATATGGGAATTAAGCGATCTAAACAACGTATGGGGACATTACATAGAAGAACTATTCTCGGACACACCACTAAACAACATAATATATAAAAAACATGAAACCAGTCCTCCTATATTAAAACAAGAAGTAGAGAGAGCAATCAAAAACGCAAAAAATGGGAAAGCCCCTGGCCCCGATGACATACATACGGAAGTCATAAAGCTACTGGAAGAGAAACATTTAAATATAATCGTCAAATTATTTAATCAAATATATACAAGCGGTGAAATTCCACAAGACTGGTTAAAATCAGTCTTTATTCCCCTTCCAAAAACTAAGGGAGCAAAGAAGTGTGGTGATTTCAGACTTATTAGTTTAATGTCGCATATGTTAAAGTTATTCTTGAAAGTTATTCACCAACGCATTTATAAGAAATGTGAACAGGATATCAGTGATGAACAATTTGGCTTCCGAAATGGATTTGGGACACGGGAAGCATTAACCAGTTTTATTATACTGCTGCAAAAATGTCGAGACCAAAAAAAGGATCTCTTTTTATGTTTTATTGACTATCAAAAGGCCTTCGACAAAGTAAAACATGATAAGCTGATGGATTGCCTTCACAAAAAGGGACTAGACGAGAACGATTTTAAAATTATCCAAACGCTGTATTTTAACCAAACTGCAGCAGTTAGAACAGAAGCCGGTGACACAGAAATATTCAATATCAAGCGAGGTGTACGACAGGGGTGTGTATTGTCACCACTACTTTTTAATATATATTCGGAAGAAATCTTTGCACGAGCACTAGAGCAATCAAGAGAAGGTGTTAAAATTAACGGCAGAGTTCTAAATAATGTACGATACGCCGACGACACGGTCCTAATTGCAGAGAGCGCACAGGATCTCCAGACACTCTTAGATCGCGTCAGATCGACTGGAGAACAATACGGCCTCAGCATTAACGTCAAGAAAACAAAAACAATGATTGTCTCCAAAACATCCATCCATCCACCCATGGCTTTAAACGTGAATGGTAACATTATCGAAAATGTCGAGAAATTTCGATATCTAGGGTGCTGGATAACGAAAGATATAGATCCAGACATAGAAATAAAATCGCGAATTGAACAAGCAAGAAATGTCTTTTTAAAAATGAAACAAATGTTTACGTCCCAAACACTCAATCTCAAAATCCGATACCGAATGCTGAAATGTTACGTTTACAGCACCTTATTATATGGAATGGAGGCCTGGACCTTCAAAATCAACTCACTAAGGCGTTTGGAAAGTTTTGAAATGTGGTTATTTCGAAGGATGCTGAAAGTCCCCTGGACAGCGCATATGAGCAACGAGCAGGTCCTACACAAGATGGGTACCGACAGAGAACTCTTAAAAATAATGAAAACACGGAAAACCTCATATTTGGGACACATATACAGAAATGAGAAATACCAGCTACTGCAGCTTCTTATAGAGGGGAAGGTAGAAGGAAAACGTGGTCCTGGTAGACGGCAGGCGTCCTGGTTGAAGAACATTCGTGAGTGGACTGGTTTGGATTCTCAATCTTTAATAAGAAAAGCCAGGGACAGAAATGATTTTGCTAAGGTTATCGCCAACCTTCATTGAAGACGGCACCCAAAGAAGAAGAAGAAAAAAAAATTAGAGAAAAAGGAAACAAAAACCTAATGATAAGACATGGAATAAATCGGAATTTAAGTTTGACTATCTAAAAAAAATGAACTTATGTTCTTTGCAAGTGAATCAAAGAAATTTTAAATTTAAATTATGTCGGAACCCAAAATAAATCCCTAAAGAAATAACTGCAATGATAAATTTGATTGTATGATAAAGATATGATACGTGTTAAATGATTTACTTACGTGGAGCTTTCTTTTTATGTGGAACTCTTGTTGTAAATGAATATTGATTTAAAAAAAAAATTAATTATTATTATTATTATTATTTCTGATTTATATATTATTTTATTTGCTCCAATTCCTTCACTTCGAACGTGAGAAAAACTCACCGGTTGGCGTGTCTGCTAATACGAGTTCTGACCAAAACTGATCGCTCTCGTATAAACTCGATTAACTTTCCTTCCAAAGTGATCCTTGCGCGTGTGCAGAAAAATAAAGTTTTAAATCGATCGCGGGCGGGTCACAAGAAATTTCTTGAGGGGTTTTATTAATACAATATTTAAATTGGATAATATTGGATTAATCAGTAGCGTAAACGCTACATGTAGTGGAAAAGAAGTGAGGGGAATCAGAGGCTACTGATGGTCCTGCTATTGAGCTTTCTAGCTGGTGGTGCTGTTCTTGTCCTACAATTATACTATAAGTAAAGCACAGTTACAAATTTTGTACATTTACCTTTTTCAAAGACTGCTGTACTGTCAAAAGGACAGTCGATGTTGACATCAATATTGGGAGCAGCCTCTTCAACAAACTCTAGCACTCCATCACGCTCTGGCTTTATCAGAGGAGCACCTCCTGTAGCTAACATGCTGTGACGCAGTGCTGTTGTTTCTTTGCGTTTCATAAAAAAAAAGATTTGGTCAATACTTAAGCATTTGCTTAAACTAATAAAAGTGTTTTACCTTTGTTTTAGGTTATTCCACAATTTTCTAATCTGCTCGCTGGTTCTGATGTTGTTGACCTCAGGCTGGCAGTTATAATTTCTTGCTATCAACTCCCAAGCCATATTTTTCTCCATTGCCGAAGCACCGTGTGTCCTTTTGTTCTCTATCACGGGGTTTTCTGTTACCAGCTGGATTAGAAGAACTCTTTCCTTTGTCGATTAAGGTGCATATTTATTGCCATTTCCACTAATCTAAAATTTACATAACCAATTTATTTAGCGTATGGCTTACACAGACAATATAATTATAATGATTGTAACGCATTACACGCATATAAATATATCCAAAAACAAATATACATCTAAGCATATATTTTGAACATCTAAAACTATGCCTCAGACGCTGTAACAAAATGGAAATTAATTCTCTAGAATAAATATTTTTATAATATATTACATACTTTAAAATAGTTAATCCAATATTAGTTTTAAACACAAAATATTAATATCCAACAGAAAATTTCAGTAAGTATACTTAAGCGTCTATATTCTTTGGTATACTATTCTGTAAACCAACTTTGCGCGCACTAAATTTGGCGCTAAATGTTTAGTCACAATTATGACACATTTTGATAATAATTGACAGAATCTTCTTTTTATTCGATGTTTATTCGAAATTTACTTTTACTGTACTAATTTTTCGTGCTTGAGATCAACCCTGCACGAGAATACCCGAAGTATCGTTTATAGAAAACAACAAATACTTGAGCATGAGTTTGACGTAAGTTCGACTTGGCGGAGCTTGAGTACCGACTACAAATACGGGGCTTAATATACCACCACCAAAAAATTTACCGGGTACTCAGGTAATATTACCACATTTCTTATTGGAGACGAAGCATTTGCACTAAGTAATTATGTGTGTATAGAATATTTAAAGAAGCGCTGCATAATTTGGAATGAGGCGTCAAAGTTAATGGAATTCAGATAAATACAATCAGATATACAGACGTTACAGTTATTTTAAGTGATGACATGAATGGATTACAATGCCTTTTAAATACCATTGATACAGTGGGAAGAGAGGTTCATGATCATATAATTCACACACGATTATATGTTGATGGTCATATAATTCACAGAGTGTCCAGTTTTATATATCTTGGTTGCCATATTACTGAACAACTAGATCCAGATCAAGAGATAAAATGTAGAATCGAGATAGCCCGCACGACATTTTTAAAAATGAGGTCATTCTACTGTAATGATAACTTGCAACTTCAACTTCGAAAGCGGATGGTTAAATGCTACATTTGGTTAGTCCTCTTATACGGTGTCGAAGCATGGACATTAAAAATATCCACCATTAATCGTTTGGAGGCCTTTGAAATGTAGCTGCACAGTCGTATACTAAAAATTCCATGGACGGCTATGTTGACAAATGTGGCAGTCCTTGAGAAAGCAAATGCTGCTCGCGAGCTGCTTGATAACATCAAATGTAGAAAGATGTCCTATTTTGGACACGTAGTAAAAGGAGACCGATATATTATTCTTCAACTTATTTTGATGGGTAAAATCGAAGGACGCAAAGGAATTGGTAGAAAGCAGGCCTCTTGATTGGAGAATGTCAGGGAGTGGACAGCAATAAAGAAAACTGAGCAACTTTTTAGAATAGCTCGAGACAGAGACAGTTTCGCCATGTTAATCGCCAACTTCAAGGGGACTTGATAGGGCACGTTAAGAAGAAGAATTATGTGATGAAACCTTATTCTAGAAGGTTGGCTAGATTAGAACGAGAGAAACAAATTTATAACTATACATTATGCCGAGGTCGTCTTGTGACAGAAAACGCTTTTGAAATCTATGCTCCATTAGATTTTGAAAGTGAAGATGAATTTGATGATTCCAATAAATCAATTAACTTACTTGCTTTTTCAATTAGTTCATTATTTCTATCCGTTTTTTTGTTGATAATATCATTAAACTTCGGTAGACAGTCATTACAAAATCATTTACATTTATCGCAATCTTGTTTAATCTTCAAAAGTTCTTCCTTTACTTTAGCACAATGAAGGCGATAACATTACAAAAATAACAAAAATTATAAATTTTGTCTTCTCCTTGCAGTACCGTCTCCCATCGGAGGTTGGCTACTATCACAGCAATCTTTACTTTGTTGGCTGCAGCTCTGAACAACCGTATTGAACTGAACCCATACCACTCCCTTAAATTTCGCAACCAGGAAATCCTACTACGTCCCACATTTCTCTTTCCCGAGATTTTTCCTTGGATTATGAGTCTAAGCAGAGAGTACTTTTCTCCTCTCATTATGTGGCCCAGATATTCCAGTTTTTTAGTTTGTATGGTTTTTATGACTTCGCATTCCTTCCCCATCTTCAGCAGAACATCTTGATTTGTTACTCTTTCTGTCCATGGTATTTTCCACATTCTCCTGTAACACCACATCTATCTCGAATGCCTCGATGTTTTTGATGTTTATCTTTTTCAGTGCCCAGACTTCCATGCCGTACAGCAGAACGGAGAAAACATAGCACCTTAACATTCATGAATCTTTTCATGTTCAGTTTTAGACCATACTTATTGGTATGAGTGTTTGTTTTCCACCAAAAACTGTAAATTTTCTAGGATATCTGTTACTATTAGCGTGTCATCAGCGTATGGTATATTGTTAATTAACTCTCCGTTAATGTTCATACCAATGTTTTGCTCTAGGAGCGCTTCCTGACATATTGTTTCGCTATATATATATATATATATATATATATATATATAAATATATATATATATATATATATTGAATAATAATGGAGAAAGCACACAACCCTGACGCACACCTCGACGAATCTCAATTTCTTCGGTTAACTCATTATCAACTTTAATTTTTGCTGTTCGTCCCCAGTACAACCTGGATATGATGTTAATGTCGCGACTGTCGATATTTTTGCTTCTTAGGATTTCATACAGCTTTTGGTGTCTGACTTTATCGAAGGCCTTCTCAAAATCTATGAAACCTACGTAGAGGTCTTGGTTTAAATAAATAATTTATAAATAAATTTTGTATTCACTATAAAATTGTCAGACAAAGCAATACACGTCTTACCGCTAGCAGACATTTTCAACTATGTTGAGACTATTTTCAACAAGTTGCGAGCACCTTGCTTCATATTTTCATCAATATTATAATGATTCTTATGTTTTCCACGTAAATCATCAAACAGTATACCAAGAATGTCTTTGCGTGATGTATCCTTAACAGTTCGTACAGCCCTATCAGAAATATCTAGTGTGGATAAGAAGAATGTCTTGTTTTCCATACATACGGGGTTTTGTTAGTACAAATTCAAAATTTCTAGCCCTCTCCGTAGTCAAGACTCGCAGTTATACGCCTACATTGATGCCGTTTTAAAGCTTTTAGCGTTAGTCATTTTTATTAGTGGCTTTATCTCTTCGGGGGAGGTATGTGTTATACCTAATCTGCCCCTTTTTGTTTTTAGTCTTCTTGCAACTCTTTCTATTTCTTCTGTGAAGTCCAGATCTTCGTAGGGATGCTCGTTGTTTCTGCAAGACCTTTCTAGTTTATCTTTTAACATATTTTACTTAATATATTTGGAATGTTTTGTTTTAGTCTACAGCTTTTTTTGCCACATACTATATAAAATAAAACAACATATTAAGTGAGACAAAATATTATTTAAATTCATATAACATTCATGGGCGCCGACTTGCCAAAAACTTTGGGGGGGCTTAATCTCCTCGGTGGGGGGGTGTATGAAAACATTTTTAGACTAGATCTTTATACATGCCAAAGATTAGTAAGCTAGAGAGCAAAATCTGGATCTTTTCCGTTATACGTATACTACCAATTATTTCTATTACGTACATCGCGCCGCGGCGATTAGGTTAGTTTCAGGTTATTATATCCTTATCCCTTAATCACTAAGATATGATAACTTGAACCTAACCTAACCGCCGCGGCGCGACGTAAAACGGGTGGTATACAATAACATTTGTTTAAATGTTGACTAAAAAAATTCATAAAAAAGCAAAAATCGACTTTTTGTTGAGCGTATAGCATTATTTGAAAGCTTGTGTTTTGATTGATTGTTTAAAAATTTTTAAGTGCAGATGGCACATTGTTATTGTTAAAGTTTTTCTTTCATAATAACAACGGTTATTATTACCAGTAAACCAATTAACTTTACGTTTACTTTTAATAAATATGTCCATCGTCTGTAAATTTTTTTATTGTTGAAAAATATTCTTACTTTACTTATCCTTTTAAACGAATAATTTTCTTTGAATTCAAAGTTAGATTCTATATAAGGCTACATTTTATTGTTAGTTTGTATTCCTTTTTGGCAAATATCAAGTATGAAAGAAAAAATAGGTAACAAAACTAACATAAAAGGGTTCAAAAGCTATTTATTTTAGATAAAGGTAACATAAGTTGCAATTTACATCAAATTATTGTAACTTGTATTGAAATCATATAATTAGTATTAAATGAAATTATTGTAGCCTGAATAACAAAATAAACTAACTAACAACTGCTTATTTTTTAGTTTGGTAAACTGCCAATGTACGGTCATATAAGGAAAAATAAACATTTCCAAAACTGTCTAAAAACATACGTACTTTAAGAAGGTGAAGTTTTATTTGTCGGAAAAGTCGAATTTCCCGTAGAAAATGAAACTAAAAACTAGGCATACAAATGATTTAGATGTTCTTGATTTTTTAAACATAAATTATTATAGAATAACGGAGTCCAAATACTTTTTTAGGGCGCGATGTATATATGGGGTGGTATACAAATAATGGAAAAGATCATTTTTGTATTCTTGAGATTTTTTGTTCTAAAAGTAGGTACATAAAGTTCTTAGATAGTTTTGGACATTTTCATCTTT